GGGTGGGATCGGGAGGGTTCATTGCTCCCGCGGGGGGATCGAAGGGTGGGATTGGGAGGGTTCATTGCTCCCGTGGGGGGATCGAAGGGTGGAAGTGGGAGGGTTCATTGCCCCCGCGGGGGGATTGAAGGGTGGAATCGGGAGGGTTCATTGCTCCCGCGGGGGGATCGAAGGGTGGGATTGGGAGGGTTCATTGCTCCCGTGGGGGGATCGAAGGGTGGAAGTGGGAGGGTTCATTGCCCCCGCGGGGGGATTGAAGGGTGGAATCGGGAGGGTTCATTGCTCCCGCGGGGGGATCGAAGGGTGGGATTGGGAGGGTTCATTGCTCCCGTGGGGGGATCGAAGGGTGGAAGTGGGAGGGTTCATTGCCCCCGCGGGGGGATTGAAGGGTGGAATCGGGAGGGTTCATTGCTCCCGCGGGGGGATCGAAGGGTGGGATTGGGAGGGTTCATTGCTCCCGTGGGGGGATCGAAGGGTGGAAGTGGGAGGGTTCATTGCCCCCGCGGGGGGATTGAAGGGTGGAATCGGGAGGGTTCATTGCTCCCGCGGGGGGATCGAAGGGTGGGATTGGGAGGGTTCATTGCTCCCGTGGGGGGATCGAAGGGTGGAAGTGGGAGGGTTCATTGCCCCCGCGGGGGGATTGAAGGGTGGAATCGGGAGGGTTCATTGCTCCCGCGGGGGGATCGAAGGGTGGGATTGGGAGGGTTCATTGCTCCCGTGGGGGGATCGAAGGGTGGAAGTGGGAGGGTTCATTGCCCCCGCGGGGGGATTGAAGGGTGGAATCGGGAGGGTTCATTGCTCCCGCGGGGGGATCGAAGGGTGGGATTGGGAGGGTTCATTGCTCCCGTGGGGGGATCGAAGGGTGGAAGTGGGAGGGTTCATTGCCCCCGCGGGGGGATTGAAGGGTGGAATCGGGAGGGTTCATTGCTCCCGCGGGGGGATCGAAGGGTGGGATTGGGAGGGTTCATTGCTCCCGTGGGGGGATCGAAGGGTGGAAGTGGGAGGGTTCATTGCCCCCGCGGGGGGATTGAAGGGTGGAATCGGGAGGGTTCATTGCTCCCGCGGGGGGATCGAAGGGTGGGATTGGGAGGGTTCATTGCTCCCGTGGGGGGATCGAAGGGTGGAAGTGGGAGGGTTCATTGCCCCCGCGGGGGGATTGAAGGGTGGAATCGGGAGGGTTCATTGCTCCCGCGGGGGGATCGAAGGGTGGGATTGGGAGGGTTCATTGCTCCCGTGGGGGGATCGAAGGGTGGAAGTGGGAGGGTTCATTGCCCCCGCGGGGGGATTGAAGGGTGGAATCGGGAGGGTTCATTGCTCCCGCGGGGGGATCGAAGGGTGGGATTGGGAGGGTTCATTGCTCCCGTGGGGGGATCGAAGGGTGGAAGTGGGAGGGTTCATTGCCCCCGCGGGGGGATTGAAGGGTGGAATCGGGAGGGTTCATTGCTCCCGCGGGGGGATCGAAGGGTGGGATTGGGAGGGTTCATTGCTCCCGTGGGGGGATCGAAGGGTGGAAGTGGGAGGGTTCATTGCCCCCGCGGGGGGATTGAAGGGTGGAATCGGGAGGGTTCATTGCTCCCGCGGGGGGATCGAAGGGTGGGATTGGGAGGGTTCATTGCTCCCGTGGGGGGATCGAAGGGTGGAAGTGGGAGGGTTCATTGCCCCCGCGGGGGGATTGAAGGGTGGAATCGGGAGGGTTCATTGCTCCCGCGGGGGGATCGAAGGGTGGGATTGGGAGGGTTCATTGCTCCCGTGGGGGGATCGAAGGGTGGAAGTGGGAGGGTTCATTGCCCCCGCGGGGGGATTGAAGGGTGGAATCGGGAGGGTTCATTGCTCCCGCGGGGGGATCGAAGGGTGGGATTGGGAGGGTTCATTGCTCCCGTGGGGGGATCGAAGGGTGGAAGTGGGAGGGTTCATTGCCCCCGCGGGGGGATTGAAGGGTGGAATCGGGAGGGTTCATTGCTCCCGCGGGGGGATCGAAGGGTGGGATTGGGAGGGTTCATTGCTCCCGTGGGGGGATCGAAGGGTGGAAGTGGGAGGGTTCATTGCCCCCGCGGGGGGATTGAAGGGTGGAATCGGGAGGGTTCATTGCTCCCGCGGGGGGATCGAAGGGTGGGATTGGGAGGGTTCATTGCTCCCGTGGGGGGATCGAAGGGTGGAAGTGGGAGGGTTCATTGCCCCCGCGGGGGGATTGAAGGGTGGAATCGGGAGGGTTCATTGCTCCCGCGGGGGGATCGAAGGGTGGGATTGGGAGGGTTCATTGCTCCCGTGGGGGGATCGAAGGGTGGAAGTGGGAGGGTTCATTGCCCCCGCGGGGGGATTGAAGGGTGGAATCGGGAGGGTTCATTGCTCCCGCGGGGGGATCGAAGGGTGGGATTGGGAGGGTTCATTGCTCCCGTGGGGGGATCGAAGGGTGGAAGTGGGAGGGTTCATTGCCCCCGCGGGGGGATTGAAGGGTGGAATCGGGAGGGTTCATTGCTCCCGCGGGGGGATCGAAGGGTGGGATTGGGAGGGTTCATTGCTCCCGTGGGGGGATCGAAGGGTGGAAGTGGGAGGGTTCATTGCCCCCGCGGGGGGATTGAAGGGTGGAATCGGGAGGGTTCATTGCTCCCGCGGGGGGATCGAAGGGTGGGATTGGGAGGGTTCATTGCTCCCGTGGGGGGATCGAAGGGTGGAAGTGGGAGGGTTCATTGCCCCCGCGGGGGGATTGAAGGGTGGAATCGGGAGGGTTCATTGCTCCCGCGGGGGGATCGAAGGGTGGGATTGGGAGGGTTCATTGCTCCCGTGGGGGGATCGAAGGGTGGAAGTGGGAGGGTTCATTGCCCCCGCGGGGGGATTGAAGGGTGGAATCGGGAGGGTTCATTGCTCCCGCGGGGGGATCGAAGGGTGGGATTGGGAGGGTTCATTGCTCCCGCGGGGGGATCGAAGGGTGGGATTGGGAGGGTTCATTGCTCCCGTGGGGGGATCGAAGGGTGGAAGTGGGAGGGTTCATTGCCCCCGCGGGGGGATCGAAGGGTGGGATTGGGAGGGTTCATTGCTCCCGTGGGGGGATCGAAGGGTGGGATCGGCAAGGTTCATTGCTCTTGCGGGGGGATCAAAGGGTGGGATTGGGAGGGTTCATTGCTCCCGTGGGGGGATCGAAGAGTGGGATCGGGAGGGTTCATTGCTCCCGCGGGGGGATTGAAGGGTGGGATCGGGAGGGTTCATTGTTCCCGCGGGGGGTTGAAGGGTGGGATCGGGAGGGTTCATTGCTCCCGCGGGGGGAACAAAGGTTGGAGGCAGATAAGGTGGCAGAGCTGAGAGCAGCTTTCGTCTTTGCGGGGAGAGTGACTCCTCCGCTGGTGCGGGGAGCGGGGGAAGGTGGAATTGGCAGCGAACAACGTTTGTTCTCCCTCCAAATGTACTGAGCCCGAGAGCGGCCGTCGGCGAGGGCAGAGCCAGTCACCACAGGGCAGGCAAGCTTGTGTTATGGGCAGTCCCCCCTGCAGTTCTGCTGTTGCCCCTCGATCCCAGCCTGCCCCCCACCTGCTCTTCCTGTCCTGGCTCCCCCCCTCATTCTCCAGCTAGGCTGCTCCCCTCAGAACTGACCCACGCCTCCTGCCACTGCCCAGCCCCATCAGGCACCTCCCCAGCTCTGCCACTGCCCCACAGGCCTGAAGTCAGTCCCCCCCCCATTCCAGTCCCAAGATTCCCCCATGCTCCTGCTCCTCAATCTCCACATGCAGCCTCCTGCTGTCCCAGCCCGGGGTCTCACCCAGTCCTCCAGGCAGCACTCAACATGGCTGCCCCTGGGGATCCTGCTCAGCAGAGGGTGGGCCCAGCCCGGCTGGTGGCAGGCCACTGCCCCACAGGCCTGAAGTCAGTCCCCCCCCCATTCCAGTCCCAAGATTCCCCCATGCTCCTGCTCCTCAATCTCCACATGCAGCCTCCTGCTGTCCCAGCCCGGGGTCTCACCCAGTCCTCCAGGCAGCACTCAACATGGCTGCCCCTGGGGATCCTGCTCAGCAGAGGGTGGGCCCAGCCCGGCTGGTGGCAGGGCTCCGCCTGGCCCACCCGGCCAAGCCACTGCCGGCTGGGTGGGTC